CTCTGTGGAGGGGCAGAGGATGAAATGGGCTGGAGCAGGCTGGGACTGTTGATAATAAGGGGTGGTAAATAGGTGGGTGTTCAGAAGACAGGAAGGAAGGCATAGGGGAGCAGGAAGGACCAGAGAGTGAGCCCTGGATGAGGGGAGTGCTGGCACGCTAGCTCCCTCTCACCTTGCTGTCAGAGTCCACCCGCTCATCCACAGAGTAGGAATCATAGTAGAGGCTGAAGTCGTTCCCCACCACCGTCTCCCACTCCTCCAGGGACCTGGGGTCCCCCTTCTCCAGGGTCACTTCTCCCGAACCCCGGGTAGAACCCAACTCCTCGGACTAGAAAAAGATCAAAAAAATCGAAGCTGCTGGCACTCTCCCAGCAGCCCCCCCATTTCCCTTGAGGGAAGGATGCAGCCCCAGCTCCCTTGGAGTAGCCCCCCAGGTGAAGAGGCCTTATTCTCCACCTCTCCTAGCTCACCAGGCCACCTCCAGAGTTCAGTTTCCTCCTTTTCGCCATATCTGAAAGAAGAAAGAAGGCAGTGAGGCCGGTGCTCTAAAGCCTCAGCACAGGCTGTCACATCAAGCCACAGGCAAGTGGGGGGTGGGACTGACCTGAGGTCACCTTCCCCAGCGAGTGCACGTCATCACTCATGCGGAAATGCTGCACTTCAGGGGGCCGCTTCTCAGGGACTGGGGGCTGAGAGGGAGTACACTTAGGGTCAGGGAGTATCTATGTGCGTTCCTGGGTTGCCTGGAGCCCCACATGGGGGTGGGGTGGTAAGCCATACCCTCAAAAATACCACCTGCAGCTCCAGTAATGAGAACCTGTATTCTCAGGAAGAGGAAGTGTTATCAGCACATCACATACCTGATGCTGGCTCTCCAAGCACCCAGAAACAGGCCCTTTCCCCCAGTTTTACAGATGAGAAAGCAAAGGTTAAGGTCTTGACCAAAAAACTACCCAGACCACACCCAGAACAAAATGACACCAAGAACCCTAAAATCTTGATCAAGTTTCTGAGGCATTTGTCATTTCCCTCCTCTGTCACTTCTGTGACCTTCATTCTCCTCTACAGGGATTTGTTGTAAGAACTTTAAAAATGGAGTGGGGGCATTTTCAAAAGCAGGAAGGAAAAAGTCCCCCTGGGGCTTGCTTTGAGGTAGAAAAGAAGAGTGGTTTGAAGCTGCTTTACAAGGTCATTATCAAAAAAGTAATTAAGTCATTAACTATGTAATTAAGTCCTCAACATGTGTCTACTCTACTCCCCCTCCCCCAAGAATGTAAACTCCAAGAGGACAGGAACCAGTCAGTTCACAGATTAAACCCCAACTCAGTACTTAACACAAGTCACCACTTGGTAAATGAATACGGGAAGTTGACTGGGTTACTAAAAGCCTGAAAGTTAAACTGTAAAAAAAGCCCACATGGGGGCCTCTCTGGTAGCATAGGGGTTGAGTATCAGGCTGAGGCCTGAGTTCAAATCGCCGGCCAAGCAGCTGACCCACAGATGACACAGCAGAACTCTCCTACCTTGCCAGAGCGCCCCTCAGCAGTGAATTTGATTAGACCCGCCTGTTCTGCTCCCCCCTCTCTCGGGTGAAGCCTCCCACCACCCCACCTCTGGCCTACACCTCAGTTCTATGCATCAATCTTAAGAAATCAATCTTTTAAAAAAAAAAAAGTCCACTGGGGGTTATGGCTAATTACCCCGTCTCTCCCAACCCCCAAACACCCCCTATCTCACCTGTCCATTTCCGGGTTTAGACATGGTTTTCCTGGCTCGGTGAACCTTAGGCTGCCCCTCTGGGCTGGTTGTGGCCGGAGGGGGTTCAGGCCCCGCTGCTGCTGCCCCCTGGGCCCCTGGCATGCTCAGTAGCCTCATAGCCAAACTCTGAACGGATGGGGGTGATTTTGCAGCCCCTGTCATAGACATCTTCGCCCGGCTTGCACAAGCACCCCCCTTGCTGGGGGAAGAGGGGAATGACTTTGTGGCATGGCCTGGAACAGACAGGCAGGAGGCAAGGTAAGAGGCCAGGTAGGCAGAGGTTACCCCACCTCACCCTGAGGGCCCCCCTGCCTCTCACCCAGCAGGATGCGGCCCCCATGGAGGTCACCATCTCCCTCTAGATTCTCGGGTTCATCCCCAATGAGCGGTGTGGCCCCTACAGGGGTGTCAGCACCCTCATCGCCCACGGTGACTGTAACAGAGGCTGGGGATGAGGGGCCGGCAGGCTCTAGAGAGTCGGGGTTGGTCTTGGGCAGCGTGTCCTCGTTACGAGGGGCATCCCCCAAAGAGCCATGAACTGGAAGAAAAGAGTAAAGTTCAGGACTCAGGGGGTCTTGTGCTGGAGGAGGTAAAGATACAAACGGGGCTGTTTCTGTAGCACTCACCTCTCTCCGCGGCTCCTCTGGGCTCCTTCTCCAACACCAGCGCCCCCATCTCAGCAGGGGCCTCCCCCTGGGAGGGGACATAAGGGATAGTAGGGCCGGTCAGTCCAGTAGGAAGTTGGGGGGCCCAGGACGCCTGGGCTCTGGGAAGAGAGAGTAGGCTCCGGGGCCTACCTCTTCCTCTATGGGGGCCCCCCCTTCCGCGGCCTCGGCTGCCCGGAGGGGCCGCACGACCCCTCCCCCGGGCCCGCATCAGCCCCCTCCCTCTCGGTAGACCCCGCATCTCTGGGGCCGAGAAGAGAGGAGGGGGAGGGGGCGGGGCCTCCGCGCCCCGGCCCCGCCCCCTCCTCCCGGCTGCTCGCGCCGCTCCCCCTTTGTCCCCCAGGCCGCGGGGACCCCGGGCACCAACCCCTCCAGCGCCCGCTGCCCCCCAGCCCGGTGGTCGGCCCCTCGTGCCCCTCGCGCGTGCTCCTGAGGCCCCGGCGCCAGCCACCCACTCGGGGGCAGCCGGCGGCTGCACGCGCGCCTCCGTGCCCACTCCCCCCACCTCCCACCCCCTGGTCCCCTCATCCGCCCCCGGTGCTGGCCCTCCGGATTGCTGCAAGTCCCGCCCGGGCCCCCCGGCCCCGTTGCACCCCCGGAGCATTGCACGGGTGCGCGCTTCCCCCGGGCGCGCGCGCGGGCATGC